AGGTCCATTGGCTGGGAATGGGCTAGATTAGAATGGCTACTTGGACTGTACAATGACTGGGCCTCCATAAACCTTAACAATATTTCATTTTTGAGGAAATTGCACCTCATACCACTATACTTAATTTATATAACATTTATGGACCCTTTATATTTTTATTTTTAAAATCACCTAAACAGCCTAAAAAAATTTCAATTATACCTAATACACAACATTTACTAACTTTTTTAAATGCTAATGAGATATTCAAGTGAATTAAAGATGCACTTACCTAAAAAAGTGGAACAAAAAATTCAAACCAAAACCTCCCCATTTATGAACATATGAGAACACGTTTTGGTGTTGGGATATTGATTTTGGGGATTGTGTTTGCTAATACGTTGTCCAGTGAGATCTGTGATAGCTGTTATCATCTAAAATGATTTTATTTGTGGGATATTGTTATTTTATTGTATGGATGCTCAATTTTTCTGAAAAAAAAAAAAATGGCAGTACAAAGTAAAGGAGATGCGGATTTGAAGATGTCATCACGTACGTAACCCCTTCTTTTATTCATACTTGCATTTGCAAATTGCTCTTTGTATGATCAGTGGCGTAGAACTTGAGGGCAATTCATTTTATCAACAATGGCGATTTGAAGATTTGGTTGGTATCAAGACAAAGACTTTTTGTGAATTATTTGATTTTTCGAAACCTTAATTTTGATGTTGATGTTGTTTTTCATAATTTCTAAATCTATGTTCTTGATTCGTAGATGTTAGTTAATTCAAGTTTGAAATTGAAATTAGCGAAGAAGAAGACGAAGAGACTGAGCGAGGTCAAATCACCTGAGGCCATGAAGAAGAAGAAAACCATGATAGATTTTTTGATTTTTTTTTTTTCGTTTGATTTTTTTGGAGTATATTTACAGTATATGTACAATATATGTTCACAACAGTTGTTCTCCTTCTCTTAATGGGAGGTTGGAAGTCGGAGAGATATACTGAAAATATACTGAATATGTTAGTTATTGTACATCTAGTTTAAGTTTGGTATATTAGTTTATGTACAAATTAGTTTTGTTAATGGATTCTTTTTTAGTTGTATATATAGTATATGTTCAGTATATGTAGTATAAAGAAATATCATATTTAGAGGTAATTACATCCTCTACTACACAATATTCCAGCTGCACTGAATATATACTAACATATACTCAATATATATCATTTGACAACTGCGTGAATTAAGAAATTCTAGTTGTGCACATATACTGAATATATACTAACATATACTCAATATATACCACACGAACTGCGTGAATTAAAGAATTTCAATTGCGCGGAATTAAATGAGTTAGTTATTTATTGTAGGCATGTTTTTTATTTCTCTCTCTTACTCAATTCCATAAAAAGGGGGATGAATGTTGAAGATTATAGTAACTGAATTTAAGCATTAATGTTACTTATTATGTATTAGGTAGATTTGTAATTATTTATTTATGAGTTGTATATTTACAATATTTTTAAAATCATGTAGGATATATAAAAATTTCCCTTCATTTTTTTGTATCAAATGGAAGTGAGAAATTGTACTTGTCTTCGTTAATGGGCTAATGATAGCGCACAAGCCCAATAATTCGAAATGGCCCTGGACGCTAGCTGCAGACCGACTAGTCGGCCTTAAGGCGCTTCGACGGGACTCAGTACAAAAGTAATAATTAAATTAAAAAAATACAACTTCACAACCGATTTACTAAATTTTACTAGTAATTGTTATCTCCTATTCTTTTTAAATGTTATTTTAGTATTATTAATTATTAACAAAATAAATATTGTTTTTTGATAATTTGTATATATTTTTCCATTATTACATTCATTTAACTAATAAATACAATATATTTTTTCATATTTATTCTTATTTTTTTATCTCTATCTTCATTAATAAAAATTATTATAGGTAAACAAATATTTTAAATAACTGTGCAAATTCTTAAAACGACACTTATAAAGTTTGTCTTCAAATAATTTGACATATTTTAGGTTACAATGTCATACCCTCGAACATTTTAACACAAGTATATATATACACGTTTTCGCTTTCCAATTAAACCCTAGGTCGAGTCGTTCATCTCGCGAAGCCGTCCGTCACACTTCCCCATCTGCCAGATCTCGTTGAAAATTGACACTCCCGCCGTGTCCACGTCGACCTTGGCAATCGATCTCCAGCAGACCTCCGCCGTCCG